ACACTCAGACACCCTCAAGGGGACAAAAACACCCCCCAACAAACCAACAACCCTGCGTGTATCCTCTTCCTAACTGTGGACAGCCCTTACTTGCCCAAGGAGCTCTACCTGTGTAGAATTGACTATTCCCAGTGAGACCTGGAGAGTCAGGCCAGGGATATTTGAAAGTATAGCATAACACCCGAGATTATTTCATGCTATTTACTGTTTGAACTCTGAATTAACTTCAAGTCCTTTCACGCAGTCGAGCAATTATTTAACCGATAATCAACATTTAACAGCGAATATTAAAATTAGCTCCCTTGAAGGAGACACAGTGTTCTTGCTTCCAGCACTAACAAGCCTTGTGCGTTCAGCACTTTTTCCCCCCCGTTATCATGTGACAGGCTATTTTTAATATTTGCCTGAATATATTTTGCATCTCCCTTTGATCCGGAGAGCTCGTGAGGCTCGTCTGCAGACCGAGCCTCCTTTGCTGTGGCAGCGCAGGGCGAAGCTTTCCCAGCTGGGCACGGGCTGGTGGGGATGGCAGGAGCAGAGCCGCGCTGAGCCGGCTGCACAGGGCAGGGATACGTGCCTGGAGCACATGGTCCTGCAGGCACCAGGAGCCTCACGTGAGGCTCAATGTGAAGAGCAGCTGCCTGGTTGAGCTGCTCACTCCCACAGGCACGTGTGAGACCAGAGGTCAGGAAATTCCCAGCTCCTCCCGCTGCCGCAGGTAGAGCCCTTCGCCTCTCAGAGAGGGGGGCTCCTGCAACACCTTCCTGCTTGTAAACAGCGATTAAAGCTCAGGAGAGGATTCCGCACGCAAGCTGGGAACGCTGCCCTTCGCACTGCGAGGCTGTGCTGGAGGAGGAGGTCACGTTAAGAAACACAGGGGAAGGGAGGCTGCAATACAGGGAGTGTTGCACACACACCCTTTTTGGGCTGCCCCTGCACCAAGTCATCCCCAGCATCCAGCCAGGAGGCTGGATGGAGCAAGAACAAACCTCTCCCAGTTGGCTGCTGCGCCTGTCACAAACAAGAGCTCCAAGAAAACGCCAAAAAACCCACCCAGCCCCGCCTGGTGTCAGTCACTGCAGCTCAGTGGCTGCGTTAAGAAGCAAGAGGTAATGGATACTTACACTCTACATGGAATATCTCAGCTGAATAAATAAACCACGACATTTAATAAAAATCTTTGTGTTCTTAGAGGGGGGTGGGAGGTGTAAGTGCACCTCACATGCAAACAATTCTCAGCTTTTTGATTAACGAGCCCCAAAATCCGTTTTTTTTCTCTTTTTAACTGAAAGCGAAGCCTCGCAGATATTGCACACAGTTATATTTCTGCAGTGGATTACAAAGCTTGTTTTTTCCTTTTTTCTTTCCTTAAATAATCTTTGGCAAGTAGGCAAAGGCACCCAACCATCCAGGGAACAGAGACTGAAAACCACCATCACAGAACACAAAGCAGGAGTGAGCTCTCTCAGAACCTCTGACAGCCCCGTCCTCCTCAGGGAGCAGGGCAGAAACAACACCTGGTTATCCCCGAGACACAGCCCCACATCCAAGGCTTTGGTGGCAAACAGAAAACTCAGATCTAAACCACAAAAATCCCCAAAACCTAATTAGGGTCCTTCACCAGACTCAGCCTGATGCCTCTGAACTCTAATTCACACCTTACAGTACCTGCCCCAATCACCCCCACCAGGGAAAAGAGCCAAAAAAAAAAAAAAAGCAACAACCACGTAGCTACCTGCAAAATATGTACTTCCCTTTACACACAAACCACTAAAAATGACTCCAAATTTCCTTAAGGACTCTGCAGTTAAACAGAAATTTACATTCCACCAAAAAACACGGCAAAAGACAACACAAGGTGTGCACGAGATGAAGAACCACAAAAATGTGTTTGCAGTAATGGGTTACTTTAAAAGCTTCATAAAATCTGGAAACCAACCTACCAGCATCCAATACCAAGACAAAAAAGAAGTTTTAAATGCATCTACACATGACGACGACTGTTGGTCTGGAATGCTAAAATAAATCAAAATACTATTTTTCATTAACAAAATCAGTGCTGTGAAAAATACATGGTTCCAGCCTTGCAACACTCACTGCCCTGTGTCGCTCCTCATCAAAAAAACCCAGCAGTTGCTATATGTAAATTCCCTGAACAGAAATGTATGGGAAGTAGGTGCTTCTTTAATTCTTTGCAGATGATAAACTGGTGAGCCTAAACATTTTTCCAGTGAGCAGACAATGTGAGCTGGAAATACAGAATTAAGTTACATTTATACAAAACCATTTCGTTGTTAGTTGTTTTTAGGGGGGAAATCAGTGAAGATTTTGGTAATGTCACATCTACAGCCTGGTCAGCAGGGCTCTGCTGAGCCTGATGACATTCCTCACTCTACGCCACTGCAGATTTCCTGATTTCCAGAGATGGTATAAAACAAGTTGGGGCAATGCCACTCACTTTACAGACAGATAAGGCTTGTGTTTCAACGCATGCACAAAATCAAATCTCCTTATGCTGCTCTTCCACAGACCATCCATGTCCCAGACAGCCCAGGGAACGTCCCTGAGTCACACTCGGGGTTCCACTGCAGGTGAACTCCCACCCCTGGAGTTGGGAATTCTGACCACCTGCACGTGCTGCCAAAAACCACAGAGCCATTTAAGGCAGGGACACGAGAACCACAGGGTTTGACCCTTCCTTCAGCTCCACACGCTCCAACAGGCTGCCATTGCCAGGCAAAAGGCAGAAGACACACCAGTGAAATATTTTTAGGAGAATTACTGTCACCTAAAAAATCCAGTTTTCCAAAAAGTAGGAAGATCACATGAAATGAATTTTTATGGAAATTGTATACTCTATGCTATTTTTGCCTGGGTTTATTGCAACAATACAAATCACAACAGCCATGCATACTGCAATGGTAGCTCAGAGCAATTAAAAATTCTTCATGTGGTAGTTAAAAAAAAAAAAATCTGTTTAAAAGTCTTAAGATCTATTAACCAACAGGCTCCATTGTAATGATTTTAACATTCACCTCCATATTTCAAAACAGCACATTTGCCTTGGCACTTTTATGACAACCCTAAATGCTTACTTTTACTCAATTTTTTTTTTAAATATATGTTATATTCTCAAACTTGCTCAGATGCTAAACTGTAAGATCTTCTCTTCAAAGCTGATTGTCAAAGTAATATTTTCACATCACAGCACATAAAAATTTCAATGACCTGATGATAAACCAGACTAGTGTTAATTAAGTCACAGTTCCTATCTGTAATGGGGGGCAAGAAAATATTATTTAAGGAGTGAAATGAGCTCCCTTTTATAAAAACCAGATTCAACAAAACGTTCTATTCTTGTAAAGGAAAAACGGTGTGGGGAAAAATAACTGCAAATTTAGATGTTTTATCCCACCCCAAGAGACATGACGTCCTTTACAACAGTAAAAAAGTGCACAGCGAGATAAGTTCGTAACCCTGAGCTGCAAATGGCTCAGGAAAAAACTCCAAAAAAATCAATGAGTTGAAAAGTCACACGGACAGCTGATTACAAATACATTCTGACAGGTGATCGTTAACAGCCTGGCTCATAACCAGGCTCCTCTGAAAAAAAAAAGAGAATGAGGACAGATTATCTGCTTTTAATTTTGTGAGTGCATATGCGACACAAAACGGTGGGGCACATAAGCACTATTTTTAAAGCTGGCTCAGAAAAAGCAAAGGGTTTTATATCCTGCTCTTGCCAACTCCAAATATATTTTAACTTTGGAAACCCTTAGAAGTTATTAGTTAACTATGAAAAGCCTTGAAACTGAAATGCAAAGCAAAGTCAAATCCACAGAAAGTAAAAGTAAATGAAATCCATGACCAAACACACACTTCTGATGGGCGGGGGCAAGGAGTCTGTTGACAGGTTTGAGAGGTTTTGGGGGGTGTTTAATTTCTTTTTAACGGGACAGGAATGTTACAGCCTTGCAAGACTTTTTTATTTCGGCCTGCTCCACAACTTTTGTCCTTCTATTTATTTATTTTGCCTCCTTATCAGATGATTCTGACAATGACTTCACACGCTGAGCATGGCAAACGATCAAGCAGAAGTAGAGGAGTGGTTTCCTGCTGCCAGGAGCACACTTTGCTCTAGCACACCTCGTGTGAGCAGAAGAGCACAATAAATAAGTCACTCTCGGTGGTATTTTTTATTTTTCTTTAAAGAAAAAAGGCAAAGCTTCATGTTTTCCAAACTTCAGTGTTGACACTATTCCACTGGCCATGATCTCAGCCATGCTGGTGTCAAGCCAGAGCAGTTATTCTGGATTCGTACGAGTGTCTCTAAAGGGATGATCTCAAGTGCTAATAAACTAATAGAAGACTTCCACTGACATCAAAGGGGTTGGAATTGTGCATTACAACCAGACCTTTGAGTCCATGATGTTTTCTTAGGCTTAAGGTGACTACAGATGCAAGTTATGAACTCAGGTCAGAGTTGCACTCAGTTTATGCCAATTTAAGCAAGATTATTATGTAGTTCCAAAATTCAGTTCCTGTGGCAAATTTTACTTTGCTCAACAGAGAGTAAGATTATGGCCAAGATTTCAAATAGGAAGCCTTGAGCTTTAACTCCAAAATAACTGCCCACTCCTGTGTTCTCACATCCAATACTGGCTGAAGGCATGTTCTCTTTGACAGTCTTTTGCCCTGCTCATTTAACACCATGGCATCTATGCCATTCTGTGCTCTTTTTACATGCTAACAGCAAGGCTACCAACAAAGGAAAGAAGTTTCCTTGGAATTCCCACAGCTTCCTTAGATAATTTAAACAAAAATCCTGGTGGAGCAACTCAGCGATAACAAGAACTATTATTTTCATTTTCTGGACTGTGAGTGACTCGAATCCTATGTGCTCTAAGCTGCCTGTCAAGTGCACAGGGAGAAGTACTGATTTACACTGGGGAGGAGGGTTCCTGCCAAATTCCACAGGGGAGTTCTTAGGGCTGATTTACCTGGTCTGACCGGGCTCTGCATGCAGTTCTGCGACACCATGCCTGGATGGACTGAAGTAGAAGCCCTGCTGCTGAGGTCCATGACAGAAGGTGATGCTGAGGTAGCTTGCTGGAGACCTGACTGGTGTGGGCTAGGCTCGTGCTGGTTTGGGCTGGGTGGAATGCCATTTTCTGAGAGGAATTCTTCCAGGTCCATGTATTCCAACTGGAAAGTGTCTCCATCGTATGGCAGTGTCTTGTCCCATAATGTTGGACCCAAGAAAGCTGACTGAGGGACTGTGGTACCGGTGCTGTCATCATCTAACTTCTTCTCTTTGTCTTTTTCTTTACCGAATGCTTCAACAAAAAAAACCATAATAAAAACGTAAGAGTTTAGTAATTAAAATATTAGCTACTACATTTCCATCCTTTCTGCTGCACTCACAGATGGTAAGAAAAGAATACTCCCTTTAGAAATATTGATTCCCTCTACCTGACAGACAGTTGAGCCAACTGAGCACCTTTGCTGGATCTAACCATGTTTTATGAGATCTCTCTCTATTTTTAGTTAACAATTCCACTGCATGCATGGCTTTGAATGTCAGCTTCAATAAGTACTCAACAGACTTAAAAGTGAGTATAAATACTCCAGCAAACTGGAAGCTGTTGGTGTATTCCGTTGAAAAGGAACAGTCTTAACCTAAAATACCCAGAATTTCTTATCCAGACATGTTTCCAAATTAAGGTCCCAGTCTTGCTGGTCCTTTCACAAGGAAAGTAGCCCTGAAATTCAGCATTTCCTAACGTTACCAACATACAGTGGCAAAGGCTTGACAGAACACGATTTTGATGTGCACAAGAGACAACGAAAAACTCAAAGGCAGAAGCAAAGAAAAGTTAAACCGATGCTTCCCCATTTTACAGCACCCAGTGACTCCTATACACATTTTGGAAGCGAAACGCCTGATTTCTCTACGGGATTTGCAAGAAACCCGAACTGATAAAGCTTCCTGTCAAACCACCGAGCCCTCGAGGCGTTTTATTTTTAACCTCACGCAACAGCCCCGGTGAAACCCCGGGAATGGGACTCGGGAAGCCGAGGATACAGGAAGAAGCCTTGTGGCTCTGCAAGACCTTCCCTGGGGTTTCTGGTTTTGATCCATCGCAATACGCGGCGCGGTTGTGCCTCCGCTCTCCGCAGAACCCGCAACTTTCTCCCGTTAAGCCCCGGGGGGACGCGGGGCCGGCGGGGGTTCGCTGGGGGGGTCCGGGATGGAGCGGGGGGGTCCCAACACCCAACACCGCCCCGGGAGGCACCGAGGGCCCTCCGCGCTCATCCCGCCGAGCGCGTCCCGTTAGGTCGGGCCCCGCAGAGCGAACCGTCCCGGGGCTTAATGCCCGGGGGAGGGGAGGGGGGGGAAAAGGGAAAGGAAGGGAAAGCGACGCCGCGGCCCCCGAGGGGTCCCAAGAAGGGGGGAGTCCGAGGGAGCGATCGCTGCCCCCGGGGAGAAGCCTCACCGTCTTCGTGAGCGAGCGGCAGCTTGAGCGGGTTTTCCAGCAGCGACTTCAGCACGCCGTAGGTGGGCGGCAGGAACGGGGGGTTCAGCGGGAGCGGCCGCGACATGGTCGGTGTGCGGCGGGAGGAGGAGGAGGGGTGAGGGGGTGGGGGGGGGTGCAGCTGCGCGGCGAGCGGTTCCTTCCCTTCCTTCCCCCCTTCCTGCGCCGCGGAGAGCCGGGCGCGGGGCCGGTGGCGATGGGGGGCGCTGAGGGGGCCGCGGGACAGGGCTGCGGGGACCGGGCTGCGGGTCGGGCCCCTCCGTCGCGCAGCAGCAGCAGCAGCTCCGCCGCCGCCGCTCCCGCCGCCCGCTCTGCGCCGCTCTGCGCCCGCCCGCCCCGCGCGCACGTGCAGCCGCCGCTGCCGCTGACGTCACGCCCGGTAACGGCCCCGCCATTGGCCCGCCGGGCGCGCCCCGCCCACCCGGGGAGGACCACGCCCCCTCCCACCTCCTGAGGCCCCGCCCCGGCACGCGCGGGGCCGGCACGGTGAGGGGCGTCGGGGGGGGGACACACAAACCCCGCGCTGACCCCCCCGTCAGCGGCTCCCCTCCCCGTGTCTCCCCGGTAACCGGGAGGAATGCGTTAATGAGATGTTAATGATGCGCTAATGAGATGTTAATGAGATGTTAACGAGTCCTGAACGTTTGACCCCCGCACGCGGTGCAGCCGAGCGTGAGGGGGAGCGGGACCCCGGTGGGTCAGGGGTGGGCGGCGGGCGCGGGGCTCCCACCGGTGTCGGGGGGAATCGGCCTTCGGGACTGCGGGGGTTGGCTGGAGCTGCGCGGAGCTCCCGCAGCTCCCAGTGCCTCCCAGCACCTCCCAGTGCTTCTCTCCCAGGTACCCGGTACCCAGGGTGACAGCGCTGTCACCACCGCCAGCAGGGTTGGCTCCCATAATCTCGCAGAACCCTTCGGGTGGGAAGGGACCTTTGGAGATCATCCAGTCCAACCCCCTGCCAGGGCAGGGTCACCTGGAGCGGGTGACATAGGAACGAATCCAGGCAGGTTTGGAATGTCTCCAGAGGAGGAGACTCCACACCCTCCCTGGGCAGCTGTTCCAGGGCTCTGCCACCCTGCACGGAAAGAAGTTTGTCTTCATGCCGAGGCAGAACTTCTTGTATTTTGGTTTATGGCCATTGCCCCTTGTTCTGTTGCTGGGCACCACTGGAAAGAATCTGGCACCATCCTCTGACACCCGCCTTGGAGATATTTATCTGCATTAATAAGATCTTCTCCAGACTAACCAGGCCCAGCTCCACAGTCTCTCCTCATAAAAGACATTCTCCAGACCCTTCGTCATCTTTATGGCCTCCACAGGACCCTCTCCAGTAGCTCCTCACCTTTCTTGTACTGAGGAGCCCAGAACTGGACCCAGTACTCCAGATGTGGCCTCATCAGGGCCGAGCAGAGGGGGAGCATCACCTCCCTCAACCTGCTGGCCACACTCTTCCTGATGCACCCCGATGGTCAACTTGTCACCCACCTAGACTCCCAGATCCCACTTTGCCTCAGAAGGGACTTTCCTCCCCTTGCCGAGATCCTCGTTGCAAGCACAGTTGACTTTCCATCTGCTCAGGCCCTCAGCCACCTGCCGTGCAGGCTGCACAAGAACCGTACTCATGCCAGAGTAACATCACCCTTCAGGTGCCTCTGGGCATCTGTATCTCCCTTCTTCTCACCTGTCTTTTTTTGGATGGCATTTTTCAAAGCTTTACCATCTGTATTTAATTGTCACTCTTTCTTCAAAAGACAGTTCTTTTACCACAAACAAATATAAATAAAGGTAAATTATGTACATTAACTGCCCAGTATTTAGAAATAAAAGCTGCCTGAGGAACAGAGAGCTGCCCTGAGTGTGAGTTGTATTCTTGCCTGTAGCTATTCTGTGTGTGACCAGTGACAGGACCCAAGGGAAACGGCTGGAGCTGTGTTAGGGGAGGTTTGGGTTGGATATTAGGAAAAGGTTCTTCCCCCAGAGGGTGGTTTGGCACTGAAACTGGGCAGTAGTCACAGCCAGAGTTCAAGGAGCATTTGGGCAATGCTCTCAGGCACATGGTGGGATTGTTGACGTGTCCTGTGCAGGGCCAGGAGTTGGACTCGATGATCCTTGTGGGTCCCTTCTACTTCCAACTCAGGATATTCCGTGATTCCGTGCACTGACCAGCGTGTCATCAAATGATCTGGCTAAACCAAGCGACTAATCAAAGTCCAAAGTACATTCAAATCGATAGAACTGCACTGGCACAACCAAAAACCTGAAGACTGGGGATTGTGACCGTCAGGCCCTGCAGAACCAGAGACAGAGTGACATGAACAGACTTAGGGCACAGCTGAGCAGGGCTTGTGAAGAACCTTTGGATGCCACAGATGCCACATGGCTCACAACTGGAGCAGGAGTGTGACAGTATCAGCACAGGAGTTTTTAAGGGTCACCTAACCAAGAAAAAAAAGCACTGGATTATTACTAACATTGCTTCAGAAAGCCAAATTGCTGGTTACTGGAAACCTTTAATTACAGAGGTACAGATGAGTGATATAAAGCTTAGGGCGATTGCCAATCCATATGCAGATGTGGTACAGAATGTTTCTTCTATGCTGCATAAAGAAAAATAGATACATTTAGGAGATATGATAAGCAGGGAAGAGGAGTAAACAGAACAGAAGATGTAAATGTAATGGGGATATTGGGAAACACCACTAACAAGATAAGTTCGGGGTGCAAAGGAAACTCAACTTGAGGCAGAAAGAAACAACATTTTCAACGCAACAGAACGACGGGAAACCTGCACTGCCTCACTGCTTGACACAAAATGGGGAAAATTACGTGTAGATCAGTGCAAGAGTGGCACAAAAGGAAGAACCAGACACTGAGCACCGTGTACAGTTACAGACCCCGCATTCCCAACACCCAGGAGCTGGGAATCTCCTGGGTGAGAAAGCCAAAACAACTCTTCCTGATTTATGAACCTGCCAGAAAAGCTGAACAGAGTGAGTACCTGAGCAGGGTGCTGGAGCTGTTATTTTCAGTTTCACACTACAACAGGAGCAGTAACTTAACTCCAGCCTTACCGCACAGGCAGGTTTCCTCCCAAGTAGCCTAAATTCCAGACTGTCAGGACACCGCTGTCTGTACCTACAGGTTACTGATTTGTACTGGCTACAATTCCTTTGTGCTGTTTTGACCACTGGCTGACCCCAAATGCTGCAGTCCAGGTAAGGCCAACCAAGACAAAACACAGCTAATGATACACTACCTGCATTTCTCCATTTTCCAACCAAAATACTCTTTTGTTGGCACGTGTTCTTAGCTGAGCATTCACCCATGAAATGTTTATTTTATGATTTATGAAAGACTATGCAGCTGCTTAGTTTTTGTATAGAAATTATCTTGATGGGTGTCATATTAAGAAAAAACCCCCAATATCAGCCCATTTTTGTGTTTCTGCTCCTGGCTGTTTCCATCACAGAAGTGGGATCATTTATATGGCCCACAGATCCTATTCTTTTCACACCAATTACCTATCAGTTAATGTACCATTAAGATTTTTCTTTTTAAAACGTGATTCTTTTCTTTAGCAAAGACAGTTCTAGAAGACGATTTTAAACTTGAAATTCCTTTACACTTTTCAGGGGTCCTTCTACCACGGTGTGCTCAGGACACAGCTATGAGATATCTCTGGTGCCATGCAGACAGCACGGGCTGGGGACTGCCAGGTGACCACAGCCCTGGGCCATCCCATCTGGACAGGTGTTGGATTGGGAGTCCCTGCCAAAGATCTGAGCACCCACAGACAAACATCCCTGCCCAGCTCTGGGCATCCATGGACACCCATCTCTGCACAGCCCTGAGCACCCATGGACACCCATCAGTGCACAGCTCTGAGCATCCATGGACACCCATCAGTGCACAACTCTGAGCATCCATGGACACCCATCCCTGCCCAGCTCTGAGCATCCATGGACACCCATCCCTGCACAGCCCTGAGCATCCATGGACACCCATCACTGCACAACTCTGAGCATCCATGGACACCCATCCCTGCCCAGCTCTGAGCATCCATGGACACCCATCCCTGCACAGCCCTGAGCATCCATGGACACCCATCCCTGCCCAGCTCTGAGCATCCACGAACACTCATCCCTGCCCAGCTCTGAGCATCCATGGACACCCATCAGCGCACAGCTCTGAGCATCCATGAACACTCATTCCTGCACAGCCCTGAGCACCCACGGACACCCATCACTGCACTCACAGGCACCCATCCCTGCACAGCCAGTACACGATGGGGTTTGGTGATTCCAGCTGGAATTTTACCAGTCTCAACCCCAGTCCCGTGCCCTGCCCAGCGGGTCGCGGGCATCGCTGGGGCGGCCAACGGGGGTGGGGTTTTCCCGGTGCGTTCCCCGGGGACGCGCTCTCGGCGGGGGAGCGACACCGCGACCCCCGCAAAGCGCTGAGCGCGGCACCGGCCGCTGGGGCTGGGCAGGGGTGAGGACACGGACACACGGACACACGGACACGGGTGTCCCCCTTCCCCCCCACCCCCTGCCGGTCACGCGGCGCGGGGGGAGCGCGCGCGGGGCCGTCACGTGAGCGCGCGCGCGGGCTGTGACCTACTTTGGGCCAATGGCGGGGCCCGCGGGCGGGAGCGCGCGCAGAGACCCCCCCCCAAAAAAAAACCCACCCCCCCAAAACACCCCCAGCCTTGGGCCCCCCTCGACCGGGGGGGGTCCTGCTGGGAGAAGGGGTGTCCTGTCGGGAGGAGGGGGGTGTCCTTCCCGGGGGGGTGTCGGTGTCCTGCCGTGGGGCTGGAGAGGAGGGGGAAGGTGTCCTGCTCAAATGGGGGGGTGTCGTGGTGGGAGAAGGGGTGTCCTGGCGGGCGGGGGTTCGGCCGAGGAGGGATGTCCTGCCGGGAAGGGGGAGGGGATGTGTGTGCGATCTGTCGGGGGTGTCCTACCAGGGGAGGGGGGGGTTATCCTGCCGAAATGGGGGGTGTCCCGCGGTGGGATGGTGTCCCTGCTGGGGATGGGGATGTCTTTCCTGCCGGGGTCCCGCCGGCGGGAGCGGCGGCTCCGGCACCGACCCCTGCAGCGCAGCAGCGCCGCCGCCCCCCGCGTCACCTCCCGTGACCCCGCCGTGTCCCCGCCCTGTCCTCGCAGTGTCCCCGCGGTGTCCCGTGTCCGACCCCTCCGGGAGGACCGTGCGGGACGTGCCCTCTGTGTGTCGGGAACCCCCCCCGGCCCCGGTGGTCCCTCGGGGGTTGCGGTGCCGCTCCCGCGGGGGCGAAGCTGCTCCGGCAGCGCTGCGGTTCAGAGGCCGCGCTCGGGTCGCGATGTCCCAGCTGGAGGGACAGCGGGGACCGCCGGTGACGCGTTTGTGTGACCCTTGGCCTGGCCTGCACCTTGTCCTGCCCTTGGATCTAAATCTGCTCATGCCCCTTCGTTTAAAACTCAGTATTAAGTCCCTGTCCTTCCCCTCTGCCTCCCTGCCCCAAGTTACTTTAAGCTCATTTTACAAAGAAGGCACTGCATGTTTTAGGTAAAAAAACCACAAACCTTCAGCACAGATTGCAAGATGTGTTTTCTCCACTGTTCTGCAGCAGTTCCTGTTCTCCTGCCCGTTGCACTGGTATAGCCTGTAATGGAAATTGGGAATTCTGTCCTGAAATATCTCCTGGAAACATCACTGCGATTTTCTTTCCCCATGCAGAAAGCTGGAGGGAAAAGCTTTTTTAGGGATCCAGCTGACCAGTATCTTCCAGAGGACCTGCTTGTATTAAAAAAAAAAAATTAAAAGGGGGTAAAAGTGGGATAAAAGTGGGGCTGGAAGACAATGCAATAATCATGGCTCAGCAGAAATGTGGATACTGGTAGATGGAGAGACACCTGCTCCTGTGCTGGGACACAGGTACCACACAGATTGTGATCTAGAGCTCTGTATGTATTTAAATATAGACTGGTTTGAAGAATTCAGGCTTTTCTCTCTCTCTCTCATGGTTAAATGGAAACCAATAGTGTGTGTGCAGTGTGGGAAATCTTTCAAGCCTGAGCAAAACCTCCTATGGTCAGGTATGTGTATGGTCACAGCTGGACTGCCACTGTCACTTAATTCCTCTATTAGGTTCTGTTAAATATGTTCTGTCTGGAGAAAAGAACTGCAAAAGTAGGTGAACAGAGAACAAGCTACAATTTGGAGGGGATAAATAATGCAGAACAAGTGTTTGGGTCAAGGCACAGGACAGCTTGGAAAAGCAAATGGTTTACACAGTACTTTAAATACCCACTGTTTTATCCACAAAGTGGATCTCCACCTCAGCCCTTTGGGAGCCAAAATGATGGATGAAGGGATTGAGTAAAAAAATGAAGAGAATTTGAAGAGGCTCAAGGTTCAGCCTTTTCGTTCTAATTTGTCCCAAGGCAGAGGAAGGTTCCCAGGTTGGCCTGGGGTGGCAGCGCATTTCCAGCTCCGTTACGTGACGCATAACTCAGAGCTCCGTGAAAAGCCACATGAGAACGCTCAGATACCCACACCCAACTGGAGCTGAAAAGCAGCAACTTCTGAAGAGAAGGTCGGGAGGCACTGAGGAGCAACGCCTGCTCCCCACTTCCCTCCCTTTCCCAGAGGTTCTGGATGTAGCCCTTGCTTGGCTTTCCAAGTGAAAGCTGCTACCCACAGCGCTGAATTACCGAAAATTGGATGTTTATTGTCCCCACGGGGTGCAGCTGAGTGAGCTGCTGTGGCTCCTCACAAGAGCAAAAATGCCTGTTGAATGAACCATGAGCTGCCTCCGCCTTTTTTTTTTAATTATTATTATTTTTTAATTTTTGATTTTTTTTTAAAGTCTAATTGAATGTGGGAGAGACAGGTTTGGAACTGCTTTTGGGTGATGGCAGAGGAGCTTCTCTTAAGTAATCTGGGGTGGTTCCAAAAGGCATTCCAGTTCTCAGAAAAATAGGCATTACCAGTCATTGCTTATATGCTGCGAGTTGAAAGATTAATAATTTTCCCTGCCAAAGTTTACAGTCAGCCTTTACCATGACAGTAGATCAAATACATGTACTTGCCTGGGCAGCTGACCTGGTTTGAACTCAGCAAGTGTGGCTCTCAGTGGTGACTACAGTTTTGGAACAAATTCTCTGCTACGCTTTTTAAAGCAACCTTACCCTTGTAAAGCATTAACCAGCCTCTCAAGGCCATTCCAGGCACCTCGTGCCCTCGGTGCCTTGGCAAATTATTTAGGCCCAGTAGGTGTAAGCAGCCAGATGACAGGACTGGATTGAGATGAGTGATAAGGGAGTAGCTGGTCTGTTTTGCAGTCAGACCTTCCCCTGAATAAGGACAACTCCCAGCTGGTGCCAATGGGAAAAACAACTTGATCCTTCCATTTATTCCTGTGCACTCCATTCCTCTTCCTTTCTCACTTTTGGCTCGCATGCTGCAGGAAGACAGTTAGAAATAGCTGTTCTTACATGCTCAGACTGTTTGATTTTGGAATTTGGCATTGGTTTTACTGGAGACAGGAGAGCACCCACGAGCACAGAATAAAACAGCCCATCCCCAGGCAGAGCTGCAGCAAAAGGGAGGAGTGAAAGGTGCAGGAGCTGAGCATCCCCTCCTTAATCAGAGTTTCTATTGAAGTCAATGACCCAGATTTCTCTGACTTCAAATGGCTGCTTTCAGAGAGCTTGCCTGAGGCATGGTGCTGGGGAAGGTCAGGCAGAATTTAGCCTGAAGTATTCCGCATGCATGGGCTTATCAGCTCTGGATCTGGGCAGCCTGATCCTGCAAACCCACGTTCCTCAACAGAGGTCTGGGAAAGTCACTGAAGTAACTTGTATCCCTGGCTTCAGACTTGCAAAGCCACCTCAAGCTTGGGGTTTCTTTCTGTCCTGTACTTCTGTGATCAGTTCTGTGACATCCACCTTGCTCCCAGGTTTCCCTTTAAAAAAAAAAATGCAGAAAGCATTTTAATCCTGTGAATTTACATTATTAAGAACACAGAAACATGATAAACCTCTCTTCTGTTTGGCAAGAAAGCCTGGCCTTCTGCAGAAGACTGGGAAAATTCCTACAGACAGAAATCAGGCTTCTAAACATAAAGGCATTGAAGTCATGCTATGTCTCTTTATGAAAGAATCGTAACAGCAGCAAGTGGTGCAGAAATGCACGTTATGAACCATACACAGTTTATCCTGCAGGTTTAGATTCATTAAATCTTGTTGATGAGACTGGGGGTTTCCCCCTCCCCACTTTTTTAATGTACTCCCCCTCTCAGTTCCATGCAGCAGCTGAGCAGGTTCCTGTCACTGCTGCCAGCTCCCAGTGCCCTTCCTGGGTACCCCCCAGCCAGGGGGTTCTGCTAAATCACCACGTTTCTTATGGCTCATTTTATTCTGTTCAAATCTCTCATCAAAAATTTCACTTGGAAACTAGTTGCTATCTCAGATCAGAATATGCACATGGATATGCTGAATATCAGCCTACCAGGCTTCCCAGGTTTTTGGAAACCTACTTATGCAAATACCATAATGCAACACACAGACTGAATGCTGTCTTAAGAGACAAATGCACCCTGGATTCTGTGTGTGCATCTCCCTACTTTATCTGATACAGAAAGTCTGATTAGATCTCTAAAGATTACAGTTTAAAAGAGCTTGGAAAAACAGAGTATTAGTAACTTGGATTTTTTTTTTTTTAATGTATATTCCAACACAGAATCAGCTTTACTGGTAGCATCCCAAAGCTGGATTTCAGTGGCATGGTTGGGTGTTTATCAGAAGGAAAAAGGAGGTATTTTCCCATAATCATGTGTTGGCTTTGTCTCACCCATGTCCAGGGCCGCCGTGTGCAGCGATGTGGGATGGAGCAGCTGCACAGTGGGGATTGTGCTCCCAGGGACAGGGACGGGCTCGGAGCCCTCCTGCCTCTCCCAGCTGGAGTCAGCGGCTCCACACAATTCCTGGTGGCTCCTCTGGAAGACCAGGCTAATTGCTCGTGTCTCCTGCGAGGACAGATGTGCCCAGAAACGAAGTGCACTGACAGAAACCCGCAGTGTTTGCCATCTCAAACAGCGCTCGGCCCTGCAAAGTTGTTTTTCTGCATTAAAGAGAAATGTTGGAGTTAATTGAGGTGAATGCAATGATAGCTGGCAGCTGTATCATAACAACCCCTCCTCACACACACAGGCACAAGGAAGCAGAGCAGCACTGCTATTGTTTGTTGCTTTATTCTGCCTTTGACTTCTTTTTTTTTTTTTTTCCTTTTTTCAATGCCATGTTTTCTTTTAAAGTTATCTGCTCTAATCTGCAGCAATATGGGTTCATAACTGACTGTATTTGGACTAAGGATATTCTTGTGCCATGTGTTTTCCTGGTCAGGCATTTAGAGTACAAGCTGTATTGAAAGTTACACTGAAAACATCAGACAGAACTAGTGTAATATTAAGCCAGCTTTGTATTATTTTTTATTCCCATTCATTTTTAAAGCCTTAACAACCCCTTTATTTAACTGTCTTGCAGAGTAAGTTGTTATTGAACGCTTACAATTAGCATTTTCATAGCCTGTTTCATGGGTTTGGTTTTTTTAATTTGTTTGGGTTTTTATATGTATTATTTGTTTGTTTTAAACTGCCAAAGGGCATAAACATACTCCCAGTTTTCTGTAGCCACCTGACAGCATGTATGAAGAGGGAAATAAAGATGTTCTCTTCCTGTATTTTCCCTCGAGTGGCTTTGACCTGGAGAATACATTATGTTGATTGGCATGAGAAAGAAGGCTGTGATCTTATTTTTACTGTTTGTTATAGCAGCTTCAAACTTATCAAAGGAAAAAATAGAGGCTTTTTAGATGGCTGCTTGCCAGCAGCACTAATCAGAATTTTAATGAGGTTTTTCCGAGGCCTAAATTAGGTCTAATTAACAATATATAAAGCAAATGTATAATGCCATAGAAGGATGCAGCCTACTGCATATAGAACGGGCTTCCATCTCTTTACAAGTAGAAATGTTGAACAAAATGCACATTTTTATGCTGGTTTACACATATGCAGGTTTTTTTTTTTGTTTGTTTGTTTGTTTTTTGCCTTTGGAAAAACCTGGTTCTAAACTTCCTAATGGCTTTGAGATCTTTTTTAAAGGGGATAGTTCTGATGGCCGTGTGATTTCCTCTGACTGGCACAGACTCTGCAGCCCCTGCTCTGGCACTTCCCGAGTGCTCCCTTTGCCATCCTCGTGTCTCCGTGTGGCCCATGTGTTCCCATTGTTTGTGGGAGAGAACTGGCCTGCAGCTCCCATTTCCCAACCAGCACTAAAGGCTCAGTTATATTTAGTGCACACACACACACTGTTTTTCTCCAAGCATTTATGACAGAAAACCATTAACAACTCCAAAACCTCATCCTCACAGCACAGTTTCTGCCCCTAAAACGTGTTTTGTGCAACGAGGGAGGAACCAAAAGGACTTTTTCCCCTTTGCAAGATTTTGTGGGTATTTGTGGTACCATAGTTCAGTTCTCTCCTTCTCTGGCTGAGTTGTTACACAGAAACTGTTTAAAAAAAAATAGAAAAGGATTTGGATCCCAGTTGCTCAGATGCAGCTTAATTCAATTAAACACCTCAGAGTATGGAATTGCTGCTTCTGCCTAAGCAAACATTTTTATTCACATACTCAGGCCATTAACTGGGAACTCTCCTGCAAGGCCTTTTTCCAAATTTCATGTTTAGTAAACAAATCTCATTTCTTTATCCCAGCTAAATCAATACCTCTTCTGATTCATTTAGCTCATGAAATGAAAGAGGAGCAGCAGCAGTAACAGTGGGGGCAAAGAACTCACCAAAGGACACCAGAACAGGATGAATATAAACCCCAAAACAAACACCTCCCCTTGTACAAACTCGGGGTCATCGTTTCTGTGGTGCTGGGCTGAAGTGTTCAGAACACTTGAGTGGGAGTTTAAATGTTGCTCTAGACCAGCTTTATCTGCAAAGCTGTAACCTGAGTTTATACTAATTCACAGGATCTGTAGTTAATAAGACAATCTGTCAACTGACCATCAGCTTTGAACCAACATCAGACATACTCCAAGGAAGCTTAAATAGCCATTTCAGATGTGTATTTCTTGAAGTGTTTAAATAAATATGTTCACATCACTTTTAAGGAAAGAGCCAAACCACAGGGCAGAGGGAGCCAGAATCGCTTTGCATCTGTTACAACACTCAGGATAATGTTTGGGTTGATTTATAGGGGAAATATTTGTTTTTGAGCTGGAATTTTGGTAACTCAGAACAGATGTTCACAGCAATGTTGGAATACTGTCTGCCCCTGTGTCTCTGTTAACTCAAGTGCTGTTACACATTGAAACTAATCTAGGAAAAAATTAATATACTGTGAAATTACTAATATTCCAAAAGGTACAAACAAATCGGATTCCAATTTGATTATCTTTCCACTTTATCAGAATCTTAAGCCATACAATAACACATGCAAAAAATTGCCAGAGCAGTGAGATTTCATCTCTTTTGTGACCCTGGATGGAGAGGAAGAAATTGTCTATCACTACTTTTTTTTCAAAGCTTTGTAATGTTGAACCAACTCTGCTTTCTGACTTTTTTCCACCTTCACTGAGCCAGGGAATATTTAAACACAGGGAGAGAAGAAGGTCATTGTAATGAGAAAGTTGTTTGTGTCTCCTAAAAATCATTCAGAATTCAGTATATTATTTTTTAAAAGTCCTGGGTGTATCCCTCAAAGACCTCTGACTACAGAGCAGCCACGAATGCAGCTCTCTTTTCCCACTGATTTAATCACATCCCTCCACCATTTAACCAGAAGAGGAGCAGAAACACATCTCCACACTCATTACCTTGGCTGGGCATGGTCTGAACTCCAGATGTCTTTGCATTCACTTCAGGGGCACAGAGCCCCTCAGCTGAGAAGCAAATGGCACCTCTCAATTTGGAGAAGTTGCCTTTTATCCTTTTCCCTTTTTTCCTGGGGAGGCAACTGGCAGTCTCCTCTCCAAGTGCAAACATCCCAAACTATGTGCTGATGTGAAGTCCAGCCTGCCAGCAGAGCTCTGCCTGATGGCTTTACCTTATGAGGTCTGTGATTTCTTCTAGGAACTCACAGATACCCCAGAGCAATGCTCTTGGCTCCCAGGAAAGATGCAAATAAGCTGGCATGAAGCTGTTTAATGGTTATCCCATTTGCAGCTGCCTTTCCATCCAGGTGCCATCAACTCTGTTCTTAACACCTGATGGCCCTGCCCCTGTCAGAGAGGAGCTGGTGACTTGTTTCTGAGTGAAGCAAACACTGAATTACCCGAATTGTGTTGAGCTCTTGCAGATTTTACTAGAATGTGTCCTTTACAAGCAGGTTTGTATTTATAGCTGTGACATGAGTCACCTCCTCAGGTGCCATGGATACAAGGAGCCATCCACTGGCTCCATTCAGCACCATCAGCCTCTCACAGCACTTTGCATTTGTGCTTGTACAACTCAGTGATTGTTTTGCTCCTCGGGGAACTCCTTCCTCCTTGTCCTGGCGAGGGCTGGAGCCACTGGAGACAGCAGTGCCTCCATGGCCAAAAAGCTTCCATGCAACAGAAACAAAGCTTCAACTGCTGCAGACTTTTAGACAAGATTTTTGGAACATTTCTCTGATGCCTTGCTCAGACATCCAGCACCACCATTTTATCTGGGTCATTATCTAACTGTCTTGTCAACTGTTCTGTTCTGTGAGTTCTTCCCTGCAAAAGCTGTCCCTTCTGCAAGCCCATATTGCCTTATTATTTTAATTTTCTTGAGCAGGAGGTGTTAGACCCAGATGGGAGAGTTAAACACCGTGGTTTTTTTTTTTAATACTGTGTTTGAAAAATAAAATTTTCTTCTAATTTAAACTTTTACACCTGATCTGGAGTCTTACTGAGACAGTTCAGTGGAAGCACCAGGCTGGTGACCAAGTGCTCACCTGTCCAGCCTCTGCCACCACTTGCTGCATGACCTTGGACTGAGTTTCCATCACTGCTGTCTCTCTCACTCTTTGTTTCCTGTAAGAAAGACCAGAAAGAAGGTGAGAGTGGTTTACTTACCACATGCACTGAGGTCCTTTGGAAGTCAGTCAAAGGCTTTATTATGCTAAGATTAGTAGCTCTTGAGTAATCTCTACTAGAACAATTCACTCTCACTAGGCTGTTGAAACTTCGAAGGTGCTACAGCTCCCTGCCACAGGGAACGGGTTTTAAAGCCAAAGAAATCTGTGGAAATGTCATAGTTCTGGCATAAGCTTCAGAAAAGGGTCCACGGTGGAAAGGCAACACTGACTTTGTTATCCATGTGGGATTTGTTGTTGACTGAAGGCGCTTGTAAATTTGAACACAAAGTAAAACCTGCATGAGTTCTCGGGAGAGAGTTGTGCAGCTCTCACACACACTGCAGGTGCAGGCACAAAACACTGGTTTTGGTTTGTTTGGAGAACACACTTTTCAGCCCCCAGAGAGCCCCCCGTGATGCAGCAACAGCACCGACGGCACTGAGGGGAGTTTGCAAATCAACTGAGAAAAAAAAGCAAAATTAAGCTTTCCAGTTTTATAATACCTAACAGGAGATGTGATTTCTTTTCAGTATTTAAAACACTTCCCTTCAAAATTACAAAAAATCGGGTTGATTTAGCTTTTTTTTTTCCCAGGTTGTAGGTTCTCCAGGCAGTGAGTAACTGCTGTTCCTTAGCAGAGGATGTTGCACACAAGAACTGAGCACCCTGGCAGCCTGTCCCTGGCTGTCCCTGCTCACGGAGTGAGGCTGTGACAGAGGATGGCAGCAGCTATTCCGAGCTCAGAAGTCCTCCACAACATCACTTGCTTTTCCTACAGGCAAGGGTTTAGTTGTTTGGTTTTTGTTTGTTTGTTTGTTTGTTTTTTGTTTTTTGTTTTTTTTTTCTCCAATACCTGCCATTCCCTGTTACAAACATAGATCTCAGGTGGCTTTTTTGCAGAAGAATTTGCTCTGCTCGAGCCCTGAGCGCCAGCAGTCCCTGTGCCCCTGGTTTTTTGGGTGCTATTTTACAGCTGCTGTAAAGCCCAGAGGCACCAAGCAAATCACAGGATTGCCACTGGGCTTTTCAAGAGCACTGAAATAATCTCACTCCAGCTCTGGGTCTCACCAAAGCAGGTGAGGTTTAATGACTTCTCCTTGTGCCTCAGTGTTTGGACAATAAGGATAATGTTTGCTTGCCTTGAGAACTACAGAGGAACAACGGTGTTCCCGTGAGGATCAGCCTTGTTATGAGCACAAGTGAGGCTTCCCTGGAAATGTGGTACCATTTCAAGTGGAGACTCCAGGGAGAAGTCTGCCAGCAGCCTTTTCATCTTCCCTGCACCCCGACTCATGAATAAACATCGGGAGAGCTGGATGAAAAGCAGCCAGGACCCGTGCTGCTGCAGAGCTGTGGATCTTCCCGGGCAGGAGCTATAAATGGCTCCTCTCTTTCGGGGATATCCAGGCTTTTAGCAGGTGTTTTGGTGTCTCCCTGAAGGGAGGCAGAGCAGCTCGTGGCACCCACGTGCTAAAGCAGCTCCCACTGATTTTAGGTCACATTAACAGCAAATCAGGGGATTTACTCTGCTCCCTCTGCTACTGTGACTCCAGGCATCAGCCTGCTTCTGATCTGGCTTCAAGAGAGGCTGGAATCTGTTTGAATCCCACTGTTACCTACAATTTTAACATGTACCTCACCTCCCAAATTTGTGTGAACCAGCACAGGGCTATCATGTGCAATAGTCCTAAAAATCTTGGCAGGTTAACTTTGAAGTAGTCCCTGCTAGCAATTACCAGGCTTTTATCTGTGGCTGTCAGTGCACTGTAAAAAGTGGCTGCTACTCCCATTTTATAGAAGAAACAGATGTTCTAGGGACGTCTGAATAGATTTAATGCAGAAATTGCATGCCTAAAAGGTGTTCTAGAAAATCCCATCATTATCACATGACTGATTTTATTCAGTGCACCCAGGAATTCAGCAGATCTGCTGGCTGTGCTTTGCTTCTCTGCTTATTTATTTTAAAGCAATAGTTCTGGTTTGAAGTTTTCCTTTTGCTCCCCTTCTGGGGCAGAGGAGGGGCTGGAATGAGTCTATCATTTTTATTTATTTTTTGAGGCAAACTTTTAGGTAGGGATTTGTTCAAAACTTCTTGAGGTTTAATTTGGTTTTGTGATCAAGAGACACAGAAGTCACATTTGTGAAATCCAATTAGGCTCCAGCCCTGGCAGGGACACATGACATCAGGCACGTACATCCATCCCAGTCCCTGCCCTTCCCTGCTTTTAAAGCCCTCAGCCTCCATGGCAGAGCTGTGCTTCTTATCTCAGGTATTTGGGATTACTGCAAACTCAATTTACCAGCTTGGGAGCTGTCAGAGCTGCCATCCTCCCCTTGGAAACGTGGCAGGGAAAAGGCAGCTGAGAACTGCTCTGCTCCAGGGGAGTGATCAGAGTGGGGTAGGGCAGGGGGAGAGGAGAGATGGGTTGTGTGGGCACCAGCACCCACAACTTGTGAATGCAGAGAGCACAAACAGAGGGAGGAGGCTGTGCTGTGGCCTTGGTTTTAGCCAGGAATTACACCCTGCTGTGCATTCTCTGCTCACCCTCCTGCTGCAGCTGGAGCCTGTCAGTGCCTTCACAGGGCACACTGGGTTTCTGGATTGAGGACTTCCCACTACGATAAGCTCAAAGCTGCCAGAGCAAGGAAGAGCTCACCCGGTGACGATCCCTCCTTAGGATCCAGCTCCTGTGCCCTGCGGGTTCAAGGAGGTGATGATGTGTCTGACACTGTGCCACTGTCCTCATTCCCAGCCCCAGAGCCCTTGGCTTGCCCTTCCCTTCTGGATATAGCAAAAGAAGGAACTGGACAGTTCTCCTTACCTGGAGAGGCACGATTTCCCTCAGCCACATCAGAAACCAAACTGTTCATTCCCCCTGTGCTGCCACCACTCCAGGCCAGTGCCCCTGGCCCAGAAGAGCCCTCTTGTAGCACCCACTGGTGCCCTACAAAACTTCAGTCACAATGGCTAAAGAGTTTTCTTATAAACAGAATATGTACTTTTATCAATGAGGTGAACTCACCAAGGCCTTTTCCTCCGGGTTCCTGTAGGTTGGTTAATTTGTGTGTTCATAACACAGGACAAGCAACAATAACAAACCTGGGCTGAAACAGACTTCAGAGTTTTGGACCAAACAAAGCAGTAAAACACTTTTCTGTTCTCCTCAACCAGCCACAGGACTTGCCTGTTAGTGAACATTTACTATTAATTTGATTTTTTGCTTTTATATCTCTCACTGTGGGATTGGAAGTGGTTATTGGAACAGCAGAGCCTGCAGTACTGTGCTACTTCAGCAGCTAAAACCAGACTGGGTTAAGCACATACATGGAGAGTTTAGGCTCAAGGGACTGGACTGCATTCCCAAAGATGAGCAGAGAAGTGAATAAGAGGAGGTTAATTGCATTTATACATTTTCCTTTAATAACAAAATGGTTCCTTTTGGTTGCACCTTACAAAGAGCCAATTAACAAGCCAACCATACCTCAACCCTGTCGGGTCCTGTTTCCTGTTCCTCTGTGTCTTTATTATTTACAACACTTTTGCATTTAATTTGAAGGAGCAATAAAGGGCTGAGAGTGCCAGGCAGGTTCTTAGGGGGCCTCTCTGCTCCTGCCATCAGTGATGGACAGTTTTCTTTGACTTGGGACGTGTAACCCCCACAGTGACTAATTACAGTCTCTGGTACTGGGGTCCCCAGGAGTCAGACTGGGACAGAATCACCATTGATTATAATTGATTGGTTATCACTGATCCAATCATATGGTTTTGACTTCCCAACCTCATATTTGGAAACACAAATCTCTATTTGTAACAGATTTTGGCCCATGCGTGGTTTTTTTGTTTTTTTTTTTTTTTTTTTCAATTTTATGACTTAATGATGAATGAAACAAAACTCATTGCACCTTTGTGGGAAGTGAATTCAATACTATTATCTTGTAATAAAATAACTTACCTTAAAAGAGTGTTGTGAAAATACCAACCTATTAAATCCAAGGCAACATCAGCCACTGTTTGGGGGAAAAATGTAGAATGAGCAGTAAATAATCAAACCACCAAAAATCTGAACAGAACCTGGATGGCACAACCTGTGAGCTGGCTGGTATTTTTAGTGTAACATGAAAACAATCCCCAGGGAAAGGCAAAGCTGGTTACAGAGGACAGAGGTGAGGCTTTAGCCACCGGTCTTTGATTTTTGGTAGACTATCACTGCAGGCAGTAAGGGGAAAGATTTACTAAGGTATTTAGGTACCTAAACATGCCTAGCAGCATTTATAGCAGCATCTAAGTAGGTTAGGTGCCTAATTCCCATTAACTCCACCAACGTGTTTAAGCTGCTAAACATCTTTGCCAGGCTGGCCCCAGTGCCTGGGCTGACAGGTGCCTGTTTGAACTGGTGCAACTGGGCTCATTCCCAGTCAGGCTGATGCTCCTTGGAGCGGGTGGAATGGATGACACACAAGGACCAGGAGCACAGAACTGAACAAAGGCTCCTGAGCCGACTCAGAGTTTTGCTACTGACTTAAGGAAGAGCCACACAAAAGTCACTCAGAGCAGCATTTGCAAAAAGGCCACTGAATTCTGGTGCTTGGTTTGGAGTGAGGATTAATGTTCCTGCAGGAGTATCTTGAGCTGAGTGTTAAGAATCCCATCAGTTCCCAGAAAAGTAGACATTTCACAGGCCAAGTCAGAACAGCATTTCCCGAGCTCCTGGACAGCCTTTCCCACTTCACAGCCCAGCCTGTTCCACAACCACAAGCATTTTTCTTAGAGGATTGTCCTTGTCCTCCCTCAGTGCCATCAGGCACCTCCTGCGTGTCAGAGACAGGCTTAAAGAAATGAACCAAACCACTCCTAAAGCAGCCTCTTACAAGAGGCATTTGATCAGATGAAGAATATTACATGGGACAGATCTACTCCCATTTAAAGCTGTAGTTTCATTATTTTAAAGGATACAACATGCACTTTAATATATTTTCTACTTAAATTTTTTTTTATTCAGGAATAAAAATGAAAAGTTGCTGTTTACAGCGTTGCCTGTGTTGACAACTGCTCTTTACAAATTCTGTTCAAGTTACCCTACAACCATTTTCTCAAAATACACAGTTCAGTTTAATCAAAATAATTTCACAAAACTATTTCATAGAAAGGAAGAGACAAGGGGAGATCAAGAGAAATAACCTAGGAAACAGTGTATGGCAGCGTACAAAAATAGATTGGAACATTTGGAGATTGCAGGTATGAAAATGTATTCCCCACCACGGAGAACGTGAACTAGTGGATTATGTGGAGAGGTAAAAGCTCACTGGAGTAGCTGGAGAGATGCAGAGACCTATTTCTAACGCCTTTAATTTCTAGGCAAATTTATAAGAGAGAGGGGGGAAACAGGCTCCAGCTTCTGGCACGTTCTCATCCGTGGGTGGGGACAGGGAGCAGAGCAGGCAGATCCCCCCTCGTGCACAGCAGGCTGGGCCTCCCCCGGGATCATTCCCAGCTCCCCGGGAAGGGCAGGCAGCACGTGCAGAGCTGTCCCCCTCCAGCTGAGCCAACAGAAGGACAGCTCTAAATTGCTCCCCGTGAAGTCTCTGCTCCTGCAGCCTCCCTGATCCACAGCCCCCCGTCCCTAAATAGCTTCTCCTCTTTGGAACACCCGGTGAGTTGTCACAAAGCCACAAGCAGAATAAATCAAGGCTGCAAAGAGGGAAGTGGAGGTTCCAATCTCTCCTGAGCAGAACTGGAAAACTGGAATCTCTGTGCAGGCTGGATGTCACGGAAGTATGAACAGAAAAGAGCTGTCATAAAGCATCCAAATGATTTCTACAGCTACAGCAAACACCACAAGGAATTCAGAGCCTCATATGTCCTCTGTGGGTCATGAGTCTGTGCCATTTGCAGAAAAGGGATTTAAATAAAAATGCTTCTGGAGTGTCCAAGCCTGAAGCACAAGCTCTGTCCCTTGGGACTGTGCTCTCCAGGAGCACAAAGGAGGCTGTGAAGCTGCAGGAGCCACTGGGGTAAAAAATGGCTAAAATATTCATGTGTTATTGTTATGAGAAGTTTTCTTAGAAATATAAGTTACTGTGGGTCTGCTGAGCAAGCTTTTCTTAATCCACACCACCTGTGTAGATTCACAGATAATTTGGGTCTGACCTAGTTAAAAGTACAAAACAAGTTTTTGCTATTTGCTTATTCAATATATCCTGACATCTACTTCCAGCAAAGCCTGCAAAAGCCTCTTTTGTGAGCTGCACACTGTTCCTCCAGGAAGAACATTTGGTGATGTGTCTGCAGCTCTCAGACCAAGTGCAGGAGATTCCTGCACTGCTATTCAGAGACATGACTTGGATTTCAAAAGAAGGTGTATTATTTTGACTCAAAAGGATCAGCAGCTCCAGTGTGCCTGACCTGGCACAGTTCTGCAGTGCTGAGGACAGAGCGTGTGGTTTGAGGCACCAGAACTGTGAGGAAGTCTGAGCTTTATATCCATTCCTCAGAGGACAAGGATTCTTAAATCCAGTGACACATCTACTGAATACAGACCTCAAAGATGTGACTGCAGCCTGTGCCTTCCTCACACTGTCACAGCCCCCTTCTCCCTCTTGCACTGAAGGTCAGAGACAGAGTTTTCCTTTGGCATATCCATCAGTGCTTCTGCAGAGTTCAGGCCTGTCTTTCATTCATTAGTAACACCCACCATTACACACACACACACATACATAAAGAGCCTCCAGAAAAACACAGCACAGAATCATACATTTGACAAAGCTGACATCAGACACTGTGCTGTCAATAATGAGATTTAAAATATCCCGTGCTATTGAGGTAAACCCAAACCTGCTCATTAACTTGCGCCAGCACCCCCCGTCATTTTCTTTATCCTCTTTAAATCATCACCAGTGTGTACAAAATGATTTTGTTCTACTTAAAGACCAGCTCTGAGGAGGTGACTGATTTCTGCTGATCCTGGAGGTGGTTTCACAGGTTTCATTGTACTTGAAACTTCACAGCTTCCACTGAAGTATTTGATGTGTGTATGTATCGGTTTAGCAGAGCACAAAAGTAGAATAATTTTCATTCTTGCCTCATATTGTTGAAAGAGCATGGTGTCCTCTACCAAAACTTTCTTTTCACTTGACAAGATATCAAAGACTCATTTTTCTAAAGCTCAACAACTATTCATAATAAGTATTCATTTTAAAAGTCATCAGAGCTCCAATACTTGTAACAAATAGCTAAATTTCTATTAGCAAAACTTATTTGCAGATTTCTTTCACAAAAATAAAGATTTTCAGTAAAGCCATCTGCATTATACTCAAAAGCATTGGTTCAAAAACCCCAGCTGACCTTGCATCTCAGTCAGCCATCAGCTGGAATCCGCCACCAACTGTCCCATCTTAATCTCATGTTGGCCAGAGCCGTGAAAATTTCACTTCAGGTCAGGTCAATTATGTCAGTGGGGAAGTCATGGAAAGACTGGACTGGGCCCTAAGGTGAGACTGATCCCTGCACACCAAAGTGGGACAGATTAAGGACTCCTGCAGCACCCACCTGCATCCTTTGTACCCCCATCAACAAACCCACCTCAAAAATGGCAGAACCTCCTCCAGCTTGAAGGGGAGAAACGTCACCAGGTACAACTACATTACACTGGAAAGCAGGCAGATTAAAACCTGGGCATCTTCTCACTAAGGAACTGGGACCAGACTAACTACTCCCTGTCAGCAGCCTCAAGCCCTCAGCTCTTGGACCCGGGCAGGTCTCTCATTCCATCCTCCTCCTCCTCGGAGCAGAGCAAGCTCAGGGCGCTTGTGACGGGATGGATCCAGGACGTTGTCTGTGTCACGTGGCTGAAAAGACACAAGAAATGCCATTAGCAACCCCAAAGAGGCTCAGAGACCTCAAACCAAGAAACACCAGACGCGGTCTGGAGTTGTAACGATCATTACGACACTTTCAAACGCAGAATTGTCCTTTTCTTGCGAACTGTGAGATTTTTACAAACAAGATGTGGCGTGTTCTGGGTGCCAGAACCTGGACTGAAGGTCCCATTTCGCAATACAGAGAGAATGCTTTTGTATGAGACTCCTGATACACACTGGTGACATTTCCTGTTAATTATCTGAGCTGTAGACAATTAATCCAGCAATGATGTGCAGCCCAGACAAAGGAGTCTTGTGAAACTCCAACATGGTTATTCACATGGCCAGCACACCAGTTACAGCCTGGGGAACAGTGGGCAGGAGGAAGCTGAGCAAATGTGGAATCACATCCCAGAAATACGCTCAGCTCCTTAGAACATGAACCCTGGAAGTGTTCAAGGCCAGGCTGGAAGGGGCTCTGAGCAACCTGTTGAAGGTGTCCCTGCCCATGGCAGGGAGTTGGAACTAGATGAGCTTTAAGGTCCCTCCCAACCCAACACATTGTATGATTCTATGATCACTATTTTAGCATCGTTAAGTCATTCCTCTTCTTTCATAAAAAGGCTGGTGAATAAATCAATTATGTTTACATGTCCTCTAGACCAGTTCAATAAAAGGGTGTCAGTGCTGATTTTTAAGGCTTAAACCCTACATTTGACAGGCAGTCTAAGCTGCTTTCCAGTGCTGGGAAAGCTTCTCTATGAATGGCAAGAGCCCGACCCAGGCTGGGTAAGGACAGATCCATGGGCTGGGTTTAGTGTTTGAGGGTGAGAACACTGCACACCTTGTGATTGGTGTGTGCATGTGAGCCATACTGTGTGTGGGCAAGACACTGCCTCTGCTCCCTTCTGGAATAATGTGTGCTTGGGAAAGGAAATAGCTTCTCTTCACTTAAAAAAAAAAATCCTGCTAATAAATTCACAGTTTTTGTAGTCAAGTCAGTGCAAAGATTAATTCTGTAATGTAAGTTCACTGCATGAACTAGCTGAAAAATATTGTACATATAATATACACCATGAAGGACAAGCAGCTCTTCTCACAATGTCTGACACACAGTGTCCCTAAAGCCCATGTCTGTACTCACCTTTCAGGTGTTCTGGCTTAATTAAATATGAAGTGCCATGATGGAACTACTCTAGATTTAGCTTTTCAAGTGAAAACAGGCTTTGTCTTTCTGTCTTTAAAAGCACTCTCTTAAATACCTGATTAGGAATTTGAGTGCATGTTCCACTACACTGAGTTATGGGTTTGGGGATCACTGTTCCCATCAACATGATGGTGCCATGATCTTACCTGGTGTTTAAATCTTTCATTTGAGTACACTGAGCTCAGACTCAGCTGGGTATGATGAGGATGTTACTGTTCACCAAGAGGTGAATATGATGATAAGGTAAATCACAGCTCAAGCTGAATGAATAAATTACCCTGTCTCTGAACGGGTAACAGGAATTTAGGCACCACTTCAATTGAAGCAAGGCCTGAGTAAAGACCACACAAGAAAAACAAAATGTGGAATATAAAGACCAGCAAACCCGAAGCCCCAGTTATGTGTAAAAGCAATTCAGAGGTGCTCTTTTGGTGAGAGCAGCACTGGATGGACTCCATTCCTTTACGAGTATGTTACAAAAATGTCCATTACTGGAGCTGTAGAGAGCAGTTTCACAGGAGTTAAAATATAGGGATAAATGAAAAACATGTTCCTACAGGAGGCACACTGCAGCAGACACTGACTACTCTTAAGCACAGTAATTGTTTCATTCTAAGAAAGTGAATGTACCGTTTTTACTGGGAATGAGAACAACTTGCCAATGTTTCCAACGTTTACCTTTACGAAGTCAGATGACAGCCAACATGGAGTCCTTTTACACTGTTTCATGAGAGACTTGTGAATAAAGTCTATCTAATTAAAAACATCATTCCTACTGTTCCACAACACAGGGAAATGTATATAGTCACATTTATATTATGAATATATTTATATTTGTAAATATACAAGGGAAAATATCTTTGCTGTATTTTTCTGCAATGTTTTCTACAATGTAAGGAAATGCCTTCTCTTTTCCTAATTTAAAAATTCAATAAGGCTTTATAGTGAAGATAGCAATTTAAATTGAAGTCCCAGCATGTGATTTCATTTATCAGTGTAACAACACAGAACTCCTTCCAACACCTGCAGAATCATGGGAGCTGAACGAGTTGGATTCCATCCATTCCAGCTCTGCCAATGCAAGATTTATTGCCTACACTACTATTTTAAGTGTTTATATCGACTACTTTTATCAAGCCATTTCTGAAAGATCCATTATGCAGTTTAAATAAGAATAAAATTACTTTTAAATTTGTTTTTCTGCCCACTTGACTTCTCCATGTAGCCTGCCCTGACCTGCTGTGTGCCTGAATCCTTAGTTCCGTTTTCTCCTGAGCACTCCTGTGAAATGGGAGAAGCTGCACAGAAGAGTTACAGGGAAAGGCATTCACAGGGCTTTGGTACAACCAACTTAAAAATTCCTTGTTAAGTGTTTGTTCTTCAGAAGGTTTTCCTCCTACATACCCCAGGGCCAGGAGGCAAATGACAGCACGTCGAAGTTCCTGCTACTGCTGCAAGAACCTCAGTTTGCTCTCACACAAATTAAATGCAAAAAACCCTCCAGACCTTTCATAGCGCAGAACTGTGGCACTGAAATCAGGATTACAATTTTCTGTATTCAGTGCCATAACACTGGTGAGAAAGAACTAGTTTTCATCCCCTTTCAAAACACGCAGGGCCAAATTTTGCCCCAATGTCAATCTGCTGCTGTAGATGCTTCTGATTTGAACTCGGTTCCTTTCAACTTGCACTAGACTTTATCCCATGAGCGACTCTCCTAGGACAGTTTGTTTTAAACCCTTTGCCAAAATCCTTACTAGGAAAAGAGCTCTTATAAATAAACATTAAGTCCAGATACCACGTCTCACATTGTAGACAGACAGACACACACAATACGCGCAGATTATTTAGGCAGAGAATAAATGTATAAACCCCGCTGCTATTTATTTTTAGCTCTCCAAAAGTGCTGTGGCTAAAGAGCTTTGACATAATCAGTCCGAAGAGATAATCCCAGATTTACTGGTTTGCAGAACATTCTTGTATTAGACATACATCCTCCCTGATTTGTGTGTTGGGGCCAGCAATAAAAGTGAGAGGGAGTCCAAATCTACCTCTAGGTATTGCATAATCGATGCAACTGGTTCGAATGTTCAGGGGATATTTGGAAAGCCAGCAGCGCAAATTTCAAGTGCGCAACGTTTTTCCATTTTGCAAATCTTCCTTTCAAAAGTCTAATTTAGCATTTGCAGAGCAATTAACAACATGTAAGGATTTTTAGGTTTTCAAACAAATCATTGCTATCGGAGGGCAGCCAAATTTATTGTTAGAAAACAGAAACATCTGATCTGGAAATATGTCAGCAGATTTAGTCTGTCGTTTTAACATTAGCAAACTGCAGGACAAATTTTAGAGCTCGGGAAAACAAAACAAGAGAACAGAGGGATGTTTTGGCAAAGGAATAGTGGTGGATTATTTCAAATGCCATTATAATTACCCTCCTTATGGCTCTGCCTTCTTCACATGGAAAATTATTTCTTTTAAAATGACAACTACAGATGATCTTTTAAGAAAAGAATCACTCAAAGAAAAACTCAAGAGAAAAACTAATTGAAAAAAAATGTCTACACCTTAGATTTTGAGCATTATCAAGACATACTTTTCACCTTAGATTGTGTTCTCCAGCCAGGGCCAAACTCTGGAGCCTGACAGGGAATTGTGAAGTCTTGCAGACCACTCAAGTGCTGCAGGTCCCAGTGCAGGATGCTGAGCTCCAAAGCAGCCATGCAGCATTCTTGGAAGTTGTTTTCCCTCCCCCCCTCTCCCCATTTTGACATTCATAACACCTGGCTCAATGTTTCAACTGCACCAGGGTTCCTGAGCTTTATAAGGAGCAATCTTGTGCAAGAGCCTTTTGTTTGAGATCTGTTCAAGAGAGGAGATGCAGCTTTAAACAATTAGTCAGACTCTCCTAATGAACAGGGACCACTGCTCTTTATGGGCCAAACAGGATTTAGTTGTAGTTGAACTTGGAAAGCCAAATTCTGGCCTCAGATGAGCCCTGTTTTTCTCTACCAAACAGCTTTATGGAAGGTGAAAATGAAAGCAGAACTCTGCTCATAGGAAATAACACAAAGCCCACAGTAGCTGTTTTCCTCCTAAATGAGCACACCCCATCAACTAAACCCACATAATCCATAGTGATAATTTTGCTAAACTTTTAATCTTTCTTACCTTACTTTTTGATTTCCCAAATTTCACTTGCCCTTTAAAGTGCAACGATGCTCAGCTGAAGAGCATTGATGGAGCTGTTCCTGATCTGCTCACAACTGCAAACCTTTGCTGAACAGCCTGAGACACGGGCACTGCACACTCTGAAAGCTTTACTCTTTGCTGCTTTCACTGCTATTGAAATAATCATTAAAAAACGTAGCAAAGAAGAGAATAACTCAAACAAAGCCCTGCGAGATGTAGATGCAGTAGGTTGGAAGGGGACATGCTCTGCACTACCCAGAAATATATTCCAGACTGGGCTTTTGTAGTTTTTAGACTTACATGCATGTCCCAGTGGGAAGTTTTGAAGTTCCTGAGAAAGGAGGATGTGCCATCTGCTAGAGGAGTGGGAATATGGAGACTGCACATCCTCTGTTACCCGCTGGTATGCAGGGCCCCGGGCACTGGAGGCTAATGAGGGCCAGAACAACAGGAAAATAAAGAACAATGCCCCTCAATAAAAATCCTGAAACTTAATCCTTCCTCTAGATGTTCTCCCATCCTCCCTGCTTGCTCTTGCACAGATTCTGTGTTGCTCTTTGCCTTGAATTACTGCCTTTGTCTTTTGTTC